TTACCGTCTCAGCCGGGCCGCGTGATTAACACCGCGGAGGCCCGCGGTAACAATTAGAGAAACCTCGAAGAGAGATCCGCCGGCGGATAGAGCGCGCGCGGCAGACGGAGAGAGATAGGGGGAGAGAGCGAGAGATAGAGCGAAAGAGACAGAGGGAGGGGGGGAGGGAAGGCCGATTACGTCGCGGCGTGATATTTCACGTCACTTCCGGTTACAAACCTCCTCCGCCGCGTTATGAGACGCCATTCGGTAGGAAGAGACACGCGTGCGAGCGAGCGAGCGAACGCGGACGAAGAGCGACCGTCGTCGTCTCCCACCGACGAGAATTAATTTGAATTGGATTACCATGAATATTGTCGGCGCCCCCGAGAGGTCGGTCGGTCGGGCGCGTTCCCGTCGCAAACTAAACGCTCCAAAAAGTCCGGACTCTTTGGCGATCAATCGCGGCGGGGCCGCTATTGCAACCGAATTTTCAATGAGAACAAAAAAAAGGAAAGGAAGAAATGCACGAGCCGATGCTCCTCGTGCGTTACATTATATATATATATATATATATATATATATATATATATATGTGTGTGTGTGTGTGTATGTGTGTGTATTTTTTTGTATTATATATAATATATTAATATCAATGACTTCGTATCGTTGGATCATGAACCGACGAGCTGAGCTTATCTATGAAATTTTAATTAGTCCGGTTTGTTATACAAATTAATTATACATGGAATTATTGGAACTTCTTAATTAGTATATTATATTTTGGAACACAATGAGAGTTTGGGAAATATATTGTATTGCTGTTTGTGGAAAATATTGGAGGATATATTGGAAGAAAGAAACTTGGTTGAATTAACGTGGACGAATCGAATGTGTCTTGGTGGAAGGAAACAGAATTTTTTATTTTCAACAATTAAATTTGGTTGCGAGAATTAGAAATTCTGTGTCCTTCAATCAAAACGCATCTTACTCGTTCATTGTAATGTATTGCTCGTATGGTTCCCGCAAAAAGTAACTGAAAATTAGAAATACGCTAATATTTTTGTTTTCTGAGTAACGTACGTTAACTTCACGTTTTTGTAGTTTATGTACTTTATTTTATATTATTTCTGACTATTAAATTCTGAATCAAAATGACACTTTGCATACATCATTTTGAATACTTCAAGTAAATATATACAAAACTTCAGATTTTTGTCATTACTCTTTAACTATCTGTTCCTTTACTAAAGATAGCAATGCAACAGCATTGTCCGCAACAGCATAATTTAAAATATTCCTAAGTAGCAGGATTATGTGAAATGACGTATCATTGTCGTTAAGGACGTTATTAAAACGTCACTTGACGTCATCATGTTTACCAAGTTCACACTTCAAAATGGCAATTGTTTGCGATCGCTTTTTTGCGATACGATAGAATTAATCTTTACTCGAATAGATTTTCATGACTAACACAACAAGACAATTGATGATGTGATGAAATTGTATAATTTTTTAAATTACATAAGAGATGAAAATACTGTATTAGAGGTGATAATACTGAATTGATCATTAAATTCATATCATGCAGTAATGTAAATTTGTTGTTACATTGACGCAACCACAAGTTTACTAAAAATTACACTCAGATTTTCATATTTCGCATGATATTCCTCTGAGCAAATTTCGATTATTTCATTCGTATTTCCTTCATGATTCTATTTCGTCATTTTTTGCAGTAAAAATATGAATGCTACATGAACCACTTCACGTAATAACTTTTACAAATCGACGTAACTAAAATTCACGTACATCTGTCTATATTCGAGTAATTTTTTCTAAATATTTTCATTATTCCTGAAATATGTGGACAATACAGCTTTAATTTAGCCAAACCTTTTCCTCCGCGTGTATCTTCTGCGAGAAAACGTGAAAGGGCAACTCCGGGGGCAAATTACCCCGAATTTACGGCACACGTTTTCATCTCGCCAAAGCGAAGAGAATCCTGAGGGCGGAAATTCGCGGCCGCGTAACTTCCTCGTTGGCCAACAACGATCCCGGATTCTTTGAAAAGTCTTGGAAAGATAAAGCTGCCGATACGGCCGAATGTGAGCTTCGGACGGGCGATCTTCCTCTCGTTAGCAGCGGACAATGCACGACCACGGTGACGGAACTGAGAAGCCCGCCCCGCGGCTGTCTCTAACAATCCAGGCCGCAACTTTTTCGCGCGCTGTATTTCCACGCAGCTTCCGTTTCCGCGAGCGGCGCCGCGAATTATCCCGGTCCGATACGACGAAGAGACTCGTCGTCTCCAGCCGCAAAGTCTCTCGACTCCATTGTGCGCGAATCTCGCAAAGTTCGCTAATTTGCGAGCGATCACTGGAGAAGGCGCGAGGAGACGCGCGAGCGATATTTCAGGGCCGTGAAGGCAGTCGCGGTTAAAATTAAGCGGGCGATCTCACGGTTCACCTTGGGCGGATTCGCGTTCCTACACATTCTGCGTTTTATAATAATCCTGTTTTCTTTCTCTAACGATACGACGAGAAGGCCGACACTGACGATAACGAATCGCACGGCGACGGGGGAAAAATCACGCCGGCGCTTCGTCGCATTTAATTACTTGCATGCGTAGTTAACGTCGCGCGCTCTCACGTCTCCGCGATAATGCGAACACCCGGGTGGCCAAACAATGCCTGACATTTTACGAAGATCGGCAAATGCCGAGCGACAGCCGGGGAATAACATCGCGCAACGACGACGAGGAGCGCCCTACGCGGTAAAACTACCCCTCTTCTCACGACCGGATCCCGTTGAAAGCAAAAGGAACGGCGGCTGATTTTTTCGTAAAATGAGATTGACGAACTTTACAGATCGGACTTATGTCATTTCACTTTGCATCTCATTCGCGCGAATATTTCCGAAATTACGGCGCGAATCCACGAAAAAGATCGTTAGGAGAGATCGCCTTATAATTGGGCGCGAGGCGCCTCCTCGTGCCCGGAAAAGACACCGTCTCGTCCCGGCAATTTCCTCTCGCGACCCTGCAAAACGCCCTCTCGTTCTCCACTCTATCTTCATCTAATCACTCCTGCTTTCGTCAACGCGGCGCCGCGGGCTAAGCGACAGGCGTTGATGGAGCCCGTCGGCGGAGGACGGAGAAAGAAACGCGATAGGTCTGAAGGGCCAAACTGCGCCCCGAGAAGCGAAAAAAAGAAGGAGAACGAGAGAAGTGGAAGGGACCGAGCACCCCTGCGGGTAGAAGAGCGAGCGAATAAAAGATAGACAGAGAGACAGCGAGAGTGAGAGAAGGAGAGAGAGAGAGAGAGAGAGAGAGAGAGAGAGAGAGAGAGGACCGAGTAGAAGGTTCCTGCACCCTGCGGCGATCGGGAAGTTTCACGGAAATGCACCCTTGCGAGGAGTTTCTCGGGGTAGCTTCGGGTCGTCGCGACGCCTTGGGAATTGCATAAAATAGGGAACGAATAGGAGGGATGAAGCGGTAGAAAGAGAAGGTGGTTGAGTCGTCCATTGTGACTGATACGGAGGGAGGCTGCGGAACCAGGCTTGCTATCGACGGATAAAAATATAAAGGTCGCGCGATTTCGCCATTTAGGCCGTGCTTAAACGACGCGGACCGTCACCCGAATGGGAATTCAATCGGATCCCTTCCTTTCCATCCTCGTTGCGGCTGCACGCACAAAGGTGCTCGTCGCGCGGCTCGTTAGAGCGAGACTCTTACGCGCGATCTCGCCCGGGGGTTCTCTCTCTCTCTCTCTCTCTCTCTCTCTCTCTCTCTCTCTCTCCTCGGCATTTCGCGGAATGTCTTTTAAGGGCGACAAAGGGAACGCGAACGACGAAACGTCTCAAGAGGCCGCGGACTTAAAGCCTGCGACATAACAATGGCCCCGCATATATGCGTGCGTTATACAGGGTGGCCACGTTTTTCCATGAGTGAATGAGCGAGCGAGAGCTGGTGGGGCAAATTAAAGCATCCAAAAGAATATAATGTCATGCTTAGAATCCTCTTATATATAACTTCAAGAAGGAGAGATTTCTTTGAGACCAAAAGGAAAATATTCTAAGTCTTTAAAAGATCTTTAGTTATAAGATTTTATTTCCTGCATTGAGAGAATACGTATCTAAAAAGTAAAAACGATATTTATTCAAGATGGATACTAATAAACATATTTACTTGTATTAATATTAGAGATGAAAATAATCAAGTCTGATGGTAACTTACGGTAAATTACTTGCTCCTGTAAATTACGGTAAATTAATCCGTAATTTTTGGAAAGCTGATAAAATAATAATTTAGAAAAAAAGTATTGAAGAAATAAAGAAATTTTAGTATAAATCTTAAAAAGATCATTTGGCTTTTAAGATAAATAAGACACTATTTAACTTATATTTTGACAACTACATTCGCAAAAAGTGGTCGGCCGACCAATGACAACTAGCCCCACAGCCGGTCGGCTGTTTGCTTTATACAATAAACACGCTCACCCGAACAATTTACTCACAATTGAATTGTTCAGATCCTTTTCTTCGTTTCATCTATTATAATAGTGACGAAATTAAACGAATCGCGCTAAAGGAATAATTTTCGTGGTTTTGGCAAAATGGTAGAAGACTGCTTTGTACAATTTCGTTGCGTGTACTCGAAGCCCTTGTTATTAGAAGAAATTTGTATTAAGGACAAAACTTATGCTCTAGATAAAAGACAAGAGTGCTTCAACTTTAAGAATATTGCATTTAGAAACTTTGTCTTCTGGTTAAGAAAATTTGCATTTTTACAAGAATCCTTTTGAAGCTACATATATAAGAGGATTCCGCTAATGAGATTATATTTTTTGGCTGAGAAATGCGGAATTACTCGCACATGAAAGATTTGTTCCTTTTCTCTTCTGGTCGCTCTGTATACGTGATACAGGATATGCGTTTGTTCACGATTGTGCGTGTGTTTACTTGTGTGGAAGCGGATATGGCTTGCATAAAAAAGTGAATGAATGAAATGAGTCTCTTACGTAACGCTGGACGAACGCTGGATGGCGGCTTGAGGCCGCTGAAGTGTTAATATCGTGACCTCGATTGCGCGCGTTCCTGATGAAAACGTCGAGGTCGCGGCCGTCTCCTTCGTCGCGGCGACATGGAATCTGAAACATGAAAGTAGACATAAGTCAAGTTTGATTCATCGAATATCGGCGAGAGAGAACGCAAGGCGGAAATCGGAACGGGCGCGGAATGAAAATTTCACGCGCGTGCCCGCCGTATTTCACGGAGACGCGCGGTTCTTGGTTTCACGCGCAGTTTTCAGGGATCGCGATAGGCCGACATAAAAGTATCGCTCTTATGCAAAATTCTGCGCGCGCTACAGATCCCCGTTGTCGTTTCGCGACAGTTACTATCGTTGCGCGCGTCACGTGCAACTGTGTCGTTAAACTTCGCGCGCTGTCGTATAACGTCACTCGCATCGGCGATGCGGAAGTCTACCGGAAGTTCGACCAGCTGCGACGAGGTTCGTTAGCGAAATTCATCGGGTCTCGCGACGAATCGACAGCAGCAGCTACTCGCGACACACAGCGGCTCGCACGGCCTTTCCGCTTGGAGATTGCAAAGTTTAACATACATTAATCGCGAATCGTGGAGTCACTCATAAGACCGCTTTACGAAAAGTAAAAGAATAAGATCGCGCCTTTCGCATCGAATTCGATTTCGTCACGTATTCCCGAGTCGAAATTTTGACCCTATGTTAAACCTTGAATTCTACAACGCAGTAGAAACTAAGTTAGTAAGGTACACTGAGAGAAATTATCCGATAAACAAAAGATATTTCCGCTTAAAATACCGATAAATTTTTATATTCGATCAGGATATCCGATTAAATTTAATCGAATATTTCCGATCATAATGGCATTTCATCAGATAAACCGATCAAAAAATGATTACGAACCGATATTTCTTATCGGATATTTTCTGATCGGATAGAAAAATTCATCGGTAATTTGTTCGGAAATATCCGTTTGTTAATATCTTATCGAATAATTTCTCAATATAGATTTAATTCTAATGATACGATTTACTATTATTTTGACTCTGATGTCTGAAATTTCGCTTCTTACTTTCTTTAGCGCCAAAATAGATTATATTATAAACTTCAAAATATCAAAATAGGTGCTGAATGACAAAAATAAAACTGCAACTGGGATTTCTAAATATTTTAGAGTAGCATCTTACTCAAAAGTGGAAAGTGGCGGTACTTTCGCTTTAGCTTAGGGTAGATTCTGATTACATATGAGCCAGTATTTCAATCGATTAAAATAAATATGTTCCCGCGATGATGTAATGCATTAGATTCACTTTTCAATTTCGATTAAAGATATTCATTGAACGATTCAGAGCGGAGAATTCACTCTGTATGAATGAAAAATTACTCGAGTAAGTCGGTAGTCACTTTGTATGTAGAAGTCAAATATCCGTAATATTTTTAAACAGGTAGTAATTTTGATTATAATTTTGTATGATTTTGTATATTACAAAAATTTTCTAGTAATTTTTACTACAATATTTTCTTCGTGTGATATGCACGAAGTGCTGAATACTTTTAGTAAATTTACTAACTTTTAGTAAATTTGCTGCACAATACAACAAAAAAATTATCGCATAACGTAAACTTAATGATTACTTCAATACAGTCTATTTGCTTCATAAATATATTTAGAAAGAACAATAGAGTTTCCATTATTGATTGCTTCACTTCGTGATAATCACGAAAGTCTATTTGGCTCTATCTGGGCATCTTCGCGAATAAAACCGCTTTATCGCGATCTATCAATTTGCAATTTAACGAAGTTTGTTTACGGGAGAGGGAATTGCGGAGAGCGGAGAAACGCTACGTCACCTATTGATTTCTCTGCACACGCATATACGCGTACACGCAAACACGCCGCACGTATCGCACCGCACGCATTTGTATTCGATTCAGGCGTTCATTACGGTATCGTCTACGTACACATAGCCGGCTACAGCAGCCTGGTGAATTCGTTAGCGTTAAAAGTATCGACGACACATGTAAAAACCGGGATATCTCGTTAATCCTACGCTAAAACATCAGTATCGCGCGCGCAATCAGCTGCGGAAGGATGACGGATCATTCCTCAAAAAAAGGCAAGAGAAATATAAAGAAATAAGAAAAAAAATTACATTCACGTACACACTACTATCGCATATTAGATACATATATATGTATATATCCGACTACTATTTGGATTATATTTCGTCCCCTATATATTCCTCGCTCTCACGTCTCCGCGGCACACCCCGTATATTCGCACTCGAAATCCCTCGGCGAGCGCACGCGGGGCGGGGGAGGGGAGAGCGTACACAGACGTGCGTGGGATATTCTCGTGGAGGTGTGCACACATTCCCGCCGCTCGTGCGAGACGTAGGAAGCCGTATGTGCATTGAACATTGATTTTAAACATATACCGGAGCTAGAAAAGAGAGGAAGAAAGAGCGAGGGAGAGAGCGCGAGAGAGAGGTGGAGAGAAAGGTAGAGAGTAAAAATGTACGCGGGATTTGCGCGAGCGCGGCGTCTTGCTTTTAATGGAAAAAAAATCGTAGGAGGCGAAGGGGCGGGCGCCGGAAGACGGATGTGGGAAAGATTTCACGACTATCGAGAGACTCGATGGACCGACCGACCGACCGATGGAGTTCGGCTGGCCCTCGCCGCTGCTATACTACTGTACGCGGACATTGGCGTAGGAGCGGTATGCTTTCTCGTATTTTTCTTCGTGGCCCATTTTGTCCGCGCCACCGTTTTACGCGTGCGCGTGCGAGCGAGCGAGCGAGCGAGCGAGAGAGAGAAAGAGAGAGAGAGAGAGAGAGAGAGCGCAGTGGACTACACTTTTATCTCTTTCACTAGCCAAGTGATCCTTTAACGTCAACGATACCTCGAAGGCACGTGTCAGTTCATTGCAGCGTTTTAAACCTATTGAAGTAATTCGTTCTTTTTTCAGCCGACGCAATTTCGGAACCCGAAGCTTCTCCTCCCCTCTCCTCTCTCTCACTCTATGTGTGTATATGTGACGGTCGTCGAGTTGAAAAACACGAGATCTCGTATCTTTTATTTGGGCCGATAATTTTTCAGCTTTTCCCGAAAAGGAAAACAAAAGAGAATCGTGCGGCAAAATACGCGCGTGAGAGCGAAGAGGCGACGGATCAGCCGCGAGGATAATCGCGACGGAGAGAGCGGCGACTCATACTAAAAATTATTAATTCGCTCGTGAGAGGAACGAGAGGACGCGTAAAATATTAACCGGCAGGTCAACAACGACAGCGAATGAACGCGTCGGTCAGTTTATCTTTCGAAATATACGCGTACACACGCATACATATAAACACACACACACAAGTGGAAATATGTACGTATCTATCGTGTATAAATGTTCAAACTTCTCTTCCGTGCGCGCGTGCGAAGCGTAATTTAGTTAAAGGGTGTAAGGGTACAACTTTCGTACAGCACACCGACTGTATTATTCAAGACGGCGATAACACGTGGTGGCTAACAAACGACCGTCCGTACCTTCCTGGCAATTTAAAGGGTCAAAAAAATACCGTCCAAACCCCACGTCGCGCCACGTTCATACGCCATTTCAGAGGGTGCGCTGCCCGCTTCGGATATTTGCGTTTGCAACATTTATTACGTCAGCGGAATTTGGAATTTTGCGAAAGCTTTTCGTTAACCCACACACACACACACACTCACACAGGAGCGCGCACGACGATACACGCGCTGTGCCGCCATCAATTATTTCCGCGTCGAATTTTCCCTGAAAGCTAATTAACCCACAAAATAATTCAAAGCGCGACGAAAGATGCGTTCTGAAAATTTGCTACAATATTTTTTTTTCCGTGGAATCGTTAGGGCATTTTGTGAAACATGCGAGACATAAAGAAAAATCGCTTCCTTTGCGCTCTTTTTGCCATCAGGTGAATATCTTTTTTACGACAAATCGATGGCTGCTTTCTTCCCAGATTGAGTACTTTATATTCAGTGACACAAGCCCACGCACAGAAAAATATCATTCTATGGCTAAGAAAAGCTTAGTTTACTTTCCTTTTTTCAAGTAATGGTTATCTTCAATGAAAATTAATAATACACACAGTGAGAAAAAAAATATCTAAAAAATAATAAATATTTATTTGGTGGTACACTAACATCATATTTACTTACTAATCTAATTTTTTTATTTAACTAGAATACATCATTTTATTAAGGTTTAAAAAAATGTGAATTTTCTTATTTTAAAAATATTTTATATTAGTAAATATGTTTTTTTATCAGTACCCAATAAATAAATATTTACTATGTTTTAGATATCTTTTTCTCTCAGTGTACGCTCTCTCGAAATATACTCATTATAAATTTTGGGAAAGCTCATTATCATATATTCAAAAGAGGAATTTATTCTTTCTACAAAAATATTACAAGAAACTTTATCGAAGAAAAGATTGATTCGTTTCTATGCAGTATTATCTATGCAGAAATTGCATTTCTGTTTTCATTTAATATGTTACATTGAAATTAACCAGGATTCAGAATGCACTTTGAATAAATTTGATGTTTTCAATAAACCTTCATAAAAAATAAATCTGTTGATGTATAAACTCAAAAAATATCTGAAACAACATTCATCTGAATGTAATATGTATTTTTCGTACAGTGTGTGCACAATATGTAGTATTTATTTTTCTGCCTTTTGTTGCGCGTTCAATAAGCAACAAAGATACAATGCAACAAAGATGCTTTTGTGTCGACTTGCGTTGTTAAATGGACTCATTCTCATTTTCCGTGGTCTCTAAAGACCGTTCGACCTTACGTTTTCGGATCGCGCGGTCGAGAAAGTACATACGGTGTCCCGCAGAGAGAGAGAGAGAGAGAGAGAGAGAGAGAGAGAGAGAGAGAGAGAGAGAGAG